ATCAGATCTGGATTGCTGTACTCTTTGCCGACGAGGAAAACGCTACAGAGACGTCAATACCAGCGGCAAGTTTCAAAAAGACTCGCCGAGATCAGGCTGTTCTAGGCGGGCACCGTGAGCGCTGAACCCCCGGTGCTGGCGGGGTTTACTGCCGAGATCAGGCAGTTCTAGGCGGGTAACATGAGCGCTGAGTCCCCGGTGCTGGTTTACTGCCGGTCCCGCTAGCAACACCTCACATCTCCGAAATTGTCGGAGCAGATTTATAAATCGGCTGAATCTTGACAAACCGACCACAGATTTGATGCTTAAACAACTAACTTCTCGCCTCAAAACATCCTAAAATTACTTTCTGTGACTTAACAACAGTAGTATTTCGAAAGTTTCAACTTCCAGGTGTGATTTCTCCTCCGCCATTGTTTCCTGTTGCTGGGGCAAAATGCATTCTGGGATATTTGGCTGTCCCAAGTACAGACAAGTCACCTCCGATGCATACCCGGTAAAATGGGCGGAGCGAGCCACATCCGGGCATTTGGACCGTGCTTGGCTTGATGTGAACTTTGAATTGGAACAGTACTTGGGCTGAGACTGATGACGTTTAAAAAGTCCACGAGTTCACAAGTACAGAGAAGTACGCATATTTGAGAAAGGCCCACTGTGATTTAGTCAAAGCATTTTGTGTAAACCTAAGGAGGCAACAGAGGAGCGCTCAAAAACCACAGAGAGAAAATACGTGTCAAGCGGGAAAAGAGCTGCGGACTAGTTTATTTTTCAAGAAACTCAAACTAAGACCAACAGATTAGATAAAGGTAAGTCACACCTCTGATCGTTATTCATCAGCCTCTGAATGGAATCTCATATATTAGTATGTGTTAAAGAAAACATATTTAACTGAACTCCGTATTTTAATTATCAAGACCTTGTTTGAGAGACAATCGACTCTTAATGATTCCTCATGTGTTTTGATATAATTTAACATTTTAACTCTGTTTTGTGTGATTTGACACATAAGCTGCCATAATGTGGACATTCTGCTCTGGATAATATCACATCAGTGACAGTGAGCAGGAAGTCCCACATCTCTGAGGCTACATTATATATAGAGTCACCCACATTTAGAAACTTTCTCAAGTGGATTTCCAGTGGGTAAAGTGAGCTTTGGGTCTACTTTGTATTATTTAATTTCAGTTTTAATACTCAGCGGGTCCTTTGCCATCAGACACCTCCACCTAACGACTAAATCCTTTTCTCTTAGTCTGTTATAATAGTCTGTCAAGGACAGCCTCTCTTTGTTCCTCTGTCTTTTTACAATCAAAAGCCTGTTGAGGTGTAAAGGTATGGTAATCCCTGTGTGTCAGACAGGGACGCGAGTCATGGCTCCCCCTTAGTGGGACCCCAGCTCCCCTGTTTGTGTTGCTCCTTTGCAGCACAGTCTGGCTTATATAGGTTGTCAAAGTCATGAACAATCTCAGGAAAGTGTATGATTTGAAAGGAAGCCTCAGGGGGAACAAGTGAGGATGTTCATGTTTTTCTAAATTCCGTTGTGATAGCACAATGTAGTAAAGTGTGTGTTTGCGTGTGCTGAGTTGTAATGAGTATTGTGGTGTGATTCTGCCTACAAGAGAAAATATATCCTTATGACCGATGACGGGCCGGACTCACAGCCAAGTTATTGATGTTGGCACCAGTCCTTTTCGCCTTCTTCTCATATATTCCAACAGCTCTTTTTATGACACTTCGGACCTACAGATTCTTTTGTGTGACTCTTTTTTTGTTTCTACAGGACGCCCACATGCTTCAGCATCATTTCCAGTTGCCCCTGAAGAGGAATTTGGCACACCATTGTGATAAAAGGGATGAATGAGGTACAGAGGGGTTAAATACCAAATTAGCTTCAAGCTTCAAAAGTGTGAATTTACAGGGTTCCTTTGGTAATAGTCTAAATACAGTTAGTTGTCCACTTCGCACTTATCGTAGGGCTGGCGTAAAAACAAAACAAATAACTGTTGCTTTTTCCTGCAGTTGAGGTGGGCCTTAGTTTTGAAAATCTCATAGAGATAACAGCAATATAGATACATTAACTGAGTAAATACAGTAGCTTAGTCTTTCAGACTTACCTGAGGTTCCTAAACACTTCAGTACGCAAAAGACAAGATACAAGTTATATAAATGAGAAGTACCCGAGCCTAAACATACGCCTAATTGCTGGAAATGACAGAAGTTCCCGTAGCCAAATGTTTTAAGCTGACAGTTTCTGCATTATAAAATATATAGGAAGTGAAATGTTCCTATTTCACACGATCATAGTCTGATTGAATTTGAAGCGATTAAAGGCTCCCTGTTATTTATTAATTTTTATTGTTCTTCTATCAGGGTCCCTGTTTTGTGCACTTGCGTGACACGATACACAATCCTACCATTGGTGTTCCACTATACCACTGATAAACATGTGGCTGCAACACGCCAAGATATGCCGCAATGTGCCGACAAAGGCAGGGAAGAAGACTGTTAGCTAGGAAACATGAATGTCAAAATTGTCCTTGCAGATGTTTTATGAGGAAGGAAATGCATTTAACATAATTGTTACACCTCTATGATACTTCCAGGGCCGTTCTGCTCTCCTCAGAAGGTGCCACCTTGCTTTGTCCAAGGCCGACACCCTTGTTTCTGTTCCTGCCAGAGCCTCTGTGGACTCAGGTGAGGGCGGGGCCGCTCAACCTGAGAGCGATGCAGCCCTGTCTGAGCTCTCTCACCTGTTTGAGACCGAGGATGGCTCCCCGTCAACTCAAGACACGAGTCACGATTCAGCCCCGGAGGTGGTTCAGCCCGGCCAGCCGGCGGAGAGCAGACAGAACCTGCGGATGAAGTTCCAGGGTGCTTTCAAGAAGGGCATTTCAACCCCTATGGACCTATTGGAATCCACCATATATGAGTCAAATGTGGTTCCAGGTCCCAAGAAAGCACCCATGGACTCGCTCTTTGACTATGGTACCTGCAGGAACACCAGCAACCAGAAGCGACGCAGGAAGAAGCTCCCCAGAGGGTGAGAAGGGCCTCGCTCTCTCTAAACTACAATTCACGTGTGTTAGGATTTAACAATCATGTGTTCCTCCAGACCTTTAGTTTAGTTTAGGGGTTTCTGGTTTAACCACAGTGAACTTGGACTGCTGGTTTGGAAAAATGTTGTCATAAAAATGAAAACCTACAAATGCCACTCTGTAGACAGAGGTGTGCCACATGAGGAAGTACGTACACACACACACTGGACCAAGAAGTCCCTCATTCAGCCCATTCACTGGGCTAACAGAGAGCATGTTGTTGGTCGCTCTGCAGCCGTTGAGGTAATATTTCGGCTGCCCAACCTGTCCAATAAACACAGAGGTCTATTTACTGAAGCACTCGAGGGTGTGGATGATTGCTTAAAAGATGGTTTGTGCATCAAACACCCATTCAATTCTTAATTCTATGTGAATGAAATGTAAAAATAATTCATATTCAAAGGGAATCTTACAGTGAATGTGTGATGTCATGTTTCTGTGTCTCCTTAGTAAAACTGAGACATCCTGTGATGATGGTCAAAGCTCAGACCCACCGAAAGTAATGAAAATATTCAACCGCTCTCTCCTCTTCGACGGCGTGTCACATGCAGACCCTGGGGCCCTCGAGGGCCTGTTGGAGTACCTGCAAAGTCACGAAAAGAGGTTAACTGATGAGGAGTTCAGAGGTGAGACTGTTGTTACTTGCATCAGATATCTGTACGGCTTTTCTTGCCAGTCTAAGCCAACCACTGGAACTTAACTACAACTACACTAGACTGCAAAGGAAGAAAATGGGTTTGTGTTTGGACACGGGGGGGCATTTTGTGATACAGATGACACATAATAATAATTGGCTCTTCCTTTGCTCTGAAGCAGAAACTCAGTTTAATCTAGTGATTGTTTTACCTTTGCCCCTTTGTATTCCCCTGCTCCTTCCTCTCTTCACTCATCTATTTTGGCTTAAAGGATGTGAGAGGGAAAAGGTTGGAGTTGAGTCTCTGTGCTGCTAGAGGCAGGCCCAAGGAAAGCTTCCTGAGTGTGTCTAAGAAGTTGTTTCAGGCTTATAACAAGGAGCAGAGAGAAATCACAGCAAACTGTCATCTCCTTCAGATAGTTAAACAGGGCTTTACAGTGTTTTAAAAATAGTGAAGCGCTTTCTTGACCCGTATTTTAATTCCCAAAACTCTGTCTAGCTTCTGTCGTTATGTAACCTACTGGTTCCCAGTACAGTTAGGGCAACACACCAGGAGGTCACATTTTAAATGACAGTACGTAGATTCCTAACCAGGGGTCCTTCTATTCAAGGGGGTGCTTCTGCAGTTGGTATATGGAAAGATATTAGAGTACAAATAATTATAATTTAAAATAAGGTATTACGATTTGATTTAAAAAAATGCATATCCTCATATTGAGTCAGCTGAAACACCTTAACACCACGTGATGCTATTAAGAGAAATTAGTTAACTTAAGCAAGTAAGTTGAGACATCTTAACAGCTACTGTACCTAAAAGTAATACCTGAATGGTGAAATGGATAGCTCAAAGGATTTAATAAATCGTTAAAATGTATAGCTCAAAGCATTTCATAAATCGTTAAAATTGTTAGCGAAATGAAATGGATGAACTGTTGAGATATCTACCTAAACGTAAATGTAAAAATAGCTTAACATAATGAATAAATGGATAAAATCAGTAGCTAAATGTTAGGGATGAACAATTTAAATCATAAACTACTGGATAAATGGTTGAAATGCTCAGCTTCTGCCATTCGTAGTGCAAACGCAAATTTGACCAAACAAACCTAAACATGAACAATTCAATTCTATGAAAAATACATTCCAACAATATCTATGTAGTTGATGGTGTTAAATAACATCCAGTAACTCAAACATATTTGGAACAAGTTTGGTAGTGTTGATGAAGGTGCACTTCAATACAAATTTTCAGTGTTAATTTCATTATTCCACCAGAGCTGTCCACGGGTAAGACATGTCTGCCTAAAGCCCTGCTGAACCTTTACGGTGGGCAGAACGCCACCATCCCACTGCTGGTGGACATAGCGGAGAAGACCGGGAACCTCAGAGAGTTCTTAAATACGCCCTTCAGGGATGTCTACTACAGAGGTATGGACACAACACAATAATACATAAAAGTGATTTGTAATTTTAAGAAGTTGTTGAGTTACTGTAGCTTGCCTGGCTGGTGTTGAGGCCCCATTAAGGGGGAAGGACAGTATTTACGTTATGTATGTTTACAGCGACTATCTACAGCTGCCCAACTGAAATACAGTCCCTTCCAAATGACCCAGGCTTCATTTGTTTGGCCTTCATCTCTTACATTGTTTTGACGAAACAGTGAAGGAAGCCTTTCGCCCTTTGCAAAAAATAGGTTTCAACTCAAAATCTGGCGTTGCTCTTCACGGGGTTTCTCCATGATTTTAATTTTGTCTTTATCTCTGTACTTTTCACTAGTATGGAAGTCAGTTTGACAAAAAAAAAATCTGTTCTTTTGCCTCATACAGGAAACACTTTTTTATGTGACAACATACAGGCTTTTGTTAAATGCATTTTGACCCCCATAAATACAGCCTGCACATAAATATGGCCCTAAACCCTCGTTGCTTTTAGTCCATTTTTATAGACCTTTCTTTTGCTAACAATTACCGAATAGTAATAACCTCTTGGAGAACATCATTCTTTCAGCTGATATTTATTAGATTGAACACAGCACACCAAACAGCCCTTTTTTGAATACCAATAATAGTTCAAATGTTTTACTATTATTGTGTTTTTTTGCGTTGTCAGGCCAGACGGCGCTCCACATTGCTATAGAGCGACGCTGTAAGCAGTATGTGGAGCTTATGGTGGAGCACGGAGCGGATGTTCACGCCCAGGCGAGGGGACGCTTCTTCCAGCCCAGGGACGAGGGGGGCTACTTCTACTTTGGTAGGGACCTTTGTCAGCACAGAAATCTAGTGTGGAAACAAAAGAGTTCATTGTGCTTCTGAATTTCTGTTTTCAGCAAACATTTAATCTATCCTAAGTGATAAAACACTGTGGGCAGATGGTCACAGAAAGATGTCTGGAGAGCCGTTACTGTGTTTTCTGCTTCATATGATGGTTATGATGTGGTTTAAATGACTTCGCTGGTCACTCTTTTAGTTTCCACTGCTTTACTCACAAGTGGTTAGTCTGTCTTTTACGGCACAGAGTTGACATCACTGCCAAGATAAAATAGCTGGTACATGGTCCTTGCAAGGAAACCTCTGGTAACATGGAGAAATGACGTGACATAAGACCCCACCCTTTCTTAACATGGCAGGTTTTGGCTGAACAAACACAGTTTGTTTTCTGAAGTATCGTACGAGAGAACCGTCATTGGTCGTGCTCCAAAAACACGTGAAAAGACGAGCATTATGGCAAATGTTCAAGGGGTTGTTCAGTGAAAGGTGTCAGTGTTCTACAGTGAAGAAAAGTCCACATCCTCTGCCGACCCTCCCCTGGGCAGGACTTCACTGACCTGTGAGAGAGGAAAAATAAATCACAGCCTGTAAACTAAACTCAACACTGCCCTCTGCGGTGTCTGTTCAGGCACAACCTTCCATATCACCGGATGCGGTACCCTGCATTGTGTCCTTTTTAGCCTTCAGAAGATAATTATCGCAGCTATAATACTTACTCTCCTAAAACCCTGAAAGAACGATATCTTGTTTTGAATTATGTTTTATTTTTTCCCTAAAACCAATTTTAAAAATTGTTTATTTGATTACATTCATGCATTATATTTCTCACTCATCACAGAGGAGATGATTTCTATTTTGCACTTAGCACGGTTGTCATTCCAAAATCCCAGCGTGTCCGGACACAGTGTGAGTAATTTGCTGCGGAGCTTTGCAGTGAGGTGAACAGGAACCTGGCAGGGCTGAGGGCTAATGGGATTTAGACTCACGCTAACACTCTGCATGCACCCGTGCAAATCCATGAAGAGGAGCGTCTCTATGTGAGGTGACAAAGTAATCTGTCACCCATGGCAACAGCTCATTTTCAGCAGCTGCTTTTGGCACTCTGGCCCCATTGCGCCCCTCCCTCAAACAACTGCTAATTGTACTGTTTTCATAGCGGGGATTTAAGTCAGATCTTTGATCCGTGCTTAGTATGCTTTGCAAAAGACATACAGACGCCAGCTACACTTCTTAATTAACCATCCTGTTGATTTGCTTATTTGTTATCTGAAACACAGTTCATTTAATCTCCTGGGAATTCAGTATGAAGTTATTCTCTCTCTTTCTCTTTGCCTAGGTGAGCTGCCTCTCTCACTGGCTGCATGCACCAACCAGCCTGACATAGTGCACTACCTGACTGAGAATCCACACAAGAAGGCCGACCTGCGGCGCCAGGATTCACGTGGCAACACGGTGTTGCATGCTCTGGTGCATATTGCGGACAACACCAAGGACAACACGCGTTTCCTCACAAAGATGTACGACGTGTTGCTAATCAAGAGTGCCAAGCTCTACCCAGACTGCAACCTGGAGACGGTGTTCAACAGCGATGGCATGTCCCCCCTCATGATGGCTGCCAAACTGGGCAAGATCGGGGTAGGGATAATGATACATCAGTGTGTCAAGCAGGATCAGCATTATAAAATACGTTTTCACTATGACAATTCTACAGTTTTGAAGTCAAAGGTCAGAAGGTCAGTTTCTCCGTATTCCTACAGGTTTTTCAGCACATTATCCGACGTGAGATCAAAGATGAGGAAGTTCGTCAACTGTCACGCAAGTTTAAGGACTGGGCTTATGGGCCAGTGTACTCCTCCCTCTACGATCTGTCTTCACTGGATACATGTGGAGAGGAACCGTCTGTGCTGGAAATCCTGGTCTACACCAGCCGCAATGAGGTGAATAACAATATTAAGCTCAAGTTTATGCTTTTATTCCAACTATAAAAATACACAGCTGAAGTAAAATATTGTTTCTCTCAACATCAGAGTATTAAGAGCAACAAGACACCAGGCGTAGCATAAAACATGTACGGGTACATCAAAAGCTTGAGTGTGATGAAAGAATTGTGTGTTATTATAACATCATATCAATGTCATGTTTCTGGTCCTGTTGTCAGAACCGACATGAGATGCTGGCAGTGGAGCCCATCAATGAGCTGTTGAGGGCCAAATGGCAGAAGTTTGCTGCAGTCACCTTTTATATCAGCGTGGTTTCCTACCTCATCACCATGATCATCTTCACCCTAGTGGCTCATTACCACCCAACGCAGGGAACGGTGGGTGTGAAACTACTGAAAATGTTGTCACAGCGTGGCTAGATCTCATATGAACAGATCAATGCTTCATGATTGAAATTGTCAGATGTTCCCATACAGCATTGAATTGTCAGGACACCAAATTAACATATCTATTACAATAGCTTATTATATATGTGTACAGTATATGTAGACCACATGCGCTGTACGTCATATAGCTTAATACTGTCTGTACATAGAAATGTTCATGTATCATTCCAGAGCAGACCAGAAACAACCGGTTGTCCGATGGCAATATATGAGGAAACACCAACACAATCATTTTTTTGTATTCATATTTGTGAAATGCTTTGCAGTATGATTAATGAATGCTGCTGGACAAAGTAAGCTTTTAAAAGATATTAGTGACAATTGCAATTGACAAATTCTTCTAGAGACCTCCCAAAATCTTGCTGTTGAAGCTTTTAGGGGGTCTCAAGTGTCAATCAAGGGGTCTCTGGGCCCCCGTATATTGGATACCGGATGTTAGAAAGATAACAATTTTCTCTTCCAACTCTCGGCAACACGGTGAATAGCTGTAGTCCCCAAAATGTTGAACTAATCCTTTAACTCACTGTCTTATCAACTGATATGATGTATTTTGTGTGTATACGTTTTATTGCTTAAACTTTCAGATTGAGTTGATTGATTAGTCTCGTCCTCCTTCCTTCCAGCCTCCGTACCCTTACACAACGTCCTCTGACTACCTTCGCATGGCAGGAGAGATTGTCACCTTAGCATCAGGAATCTTCTTCTTCCTCACCAATGTGAGTCAATACACGACTCCTTTTTATGCTTCCATCATTGGTTGCTCACTGCTATCTCCAAGTCTCTTGCATCAAAGTCAAAACTGTAAGGAAAGTGTTGTTGTCATTATGGAAATGTCTCTCCTGTTCTTTGCAGATTAAGGACCTCTTCATGAAGAAGTGCCCCGGGGTGAAGTCTTTATTTATGGATGGATCCTTTCAACTGCTTTAGTAAGTTTACATCCGCCGTCCTTGCTCCCCCTCTTCCTCACCTCTGCCGACTTTCACTCGAGGCACATTTTGCATCCTCTAAATTGAGTCATCTAATTAATTTCTGAACGTCCTCCCTGGCATGTTCTATAGTTTACATCTTTACTTCTAAATACAGAGCAGAGAATGTCGAGCACCTCTCTGAACCGTGGTGATTTAAGTAATTAGCAGCCTGGCTGTGATTTCCACATTCTGTAAAAAGTGCCAGCAATTACGTCTTCCTGCCTTCATGTATTACTTCAGAATCACAGACTTTAGCATTGGAACCGGTTCCTTGACAAACTTCCTCTCTGTCCTCTCTAGCTTCATCTACTCTGTACTGATTGTAGTCACAGCTGCTCTCTACCTGTCTGGCATCAAGGCCTATGTGTCTGTGATGGTGTTTGCACTTGTCCTGGGCTGGATGAACACTCTTTACTTCACCAGAGGCCTGAAGCTCACTGGCACCTACAGTATCATGATACAGAAGGTTAGATAATGGAGGAAATTAACTAATGGAAATTAATTGTTCTTAAATATCACCACCCATGTGTCTTACCACTCTTTCTTTTTTTTTTTTTGGTTCACAGATTCTTTTTAAAGACCTTTTCAGATTTCTTCTGGTGTACGTGCTCTTCATGATTGGATATGCATCAGGTACAGTGCTCGAAGTGGGCCAGAACTCACCGATACACAGTACCGGCACTAATACAGATTACTCTTTGGCATACCGTATTTGCGCCGTGCCTCGTAAGCTGTAAGAACACAAAAAACAATGTTGAGAGCATCTGAACGCATTTTACAGGGCAAACATTGCCAGAAGAATAAAATGTTCAGACAAATGCTGTGATATATGTAAATAATAAAAAAATTAATTATTATAAAGTTATTTTTTTCTTAAACCTTTGGGCCACTATCTATAGTAATAATTGTGGTCCAAGATTATATACAATTGTATAGTTTTAAGAAAAACCTTTTTAAAAAACCTTCATATTTTCCCATCCCAATAGCTCCTAGTATCTTTTATTCACTGTAGAAATTCAGAATCTAATATAATGATAATATATGAGCATCCTGACTGGGACACTGCTCCTAAAACCTGAATGATTATCTCACACCCTGTCAGGCTGCAGGCATTGTATAAAATGTTATAGAGTGATACTACAGGCTACACATAACACAGGAGAGTTTCAACACTATGGGTGAATATACAAACGCACCATCTTAACCTGTTAATGTTTTAGGTGGAATGTTATTAGAGTATTATAGGTCTACAATAGAAGATGCATGCCCAAGTATAACAATTAAATCACTACTGACTAACATGCTTAAAGAAACGATAAATAAATAGAAAGATTTGCTGATGCACACCCCAACATGTGAATAAGGAGAGTACTGACACTTGTTCTTTTCCACTTCAAGCACTGGTCAGGTAGGCTTATGGTCACCTAACTTTACAGGTGTATGTCAGCATTACTAATAGGGATATATTGAGATTTATATCAATAACACTCCATCTCTATTAACATATATGAAGCTACAGCCAACAGCTTCAGACATGAGAGTGGCATTGATCTCCTAATTTAACTTTAGGCAAGAAAGCAAACATTTCCCAAAATATTGAACTGTTTCTTTAAGTGCTCACTGAAACATAACCCAACCTCCTTTTCCTACCCCATAGCCCTGGTGTCCCTGCTGACAATGTGTCCTCCACCGGGCACAGAGTGTGAGGGGGGCTGTCCCACCTACCCCAACTGCAGGGACCCAGATACCTTCGGTGCTTTCCTACTGGACCTCTTTAAGCTGACCATTGGGATGGGAGAACTGGACATGATTCACGGTGCACAGTATCCTGCAGTTTTCCTCATCCTGTTGGTTACCTACATCATCCTCACTTTTGTCCTGCTGCTAAACATGTTGATCGCGTTGATGGGGGAGACGGTGGGACAGGTGTCGAAAGAGAGCAAGAAGATCTGGAAGCTTCAGGTGAGCAGTGTTTTAAAGGGTCAGTTCCCCCAAATTATGGAAACACATACTGTCTCATTACCTCCTCTGGTATCTCGCCATCCAGATAGTTTTGGTTTGTTTTTGGCAGGTTTTGTGATATTTACCTCTGAGATATGTGGTCCACTGAAACACTTAAGAGGTGGAACAAATTCAGTTTGTGGTGCTTACTTATGAAAAATGTCACTTTCCTGCTGCCAAACTAGCGGCTCTGTGAGGCTGTACTGTAACAGCCGCATGCTAACTTGCTCATAAGGACAGAGCTAACATGCAGATCTAATATTTCCATGATACCATCTCAGTGTAGCATGTTAGCATGCTATGTATAGCCAACTACAAAAAAAACACAAGTAGATACAAATATGTTTGTGTCATTCGAGTGGCTTAAATAGGCTACTCTAATTAAACGTAATGTTTATTCACAGTGGGCAACGACCATCTTGGACATCGAGCGCTCTTTCCCAGTCTGCCTTCGCAGGTCTTTTCGAGCCGGGGAGATGGTGACTGTGGGGAAGAACTGGGATGGCACACCTGACCGACGCTGGTGCTTCAGGTATTATGCATGACTCACAATCACAGTCACTCAGCAGCGCCAATGCCACTTCAAAGAAAAGTGTCAATCCCAATGGTGTCTTGTTATATCAGGGTGGATGAGGTGAACTGGTGCCACTGGAATCAGAACCTGGCAATAATCAACGAGGATCCAGGCAAGAATGAGACCTGCCAAGCCAACGGGTTGCAGCAGAGTGTCAGAACCTTGCGGAGAGGTGAGATTCTCACTGTGCTCTCATGAATAAATGCATCAACAAATAAGTATATATTCATGTGGAACACACACTAACTTATTCATAAAGATCAAAGAAAATCCTTCTTTCTATTCCCCTCCAGACCGCTGGTCCACAGTGGTTCTGCGGGCGGTGGAGTTGAGTAAGGGTCCGCGTCCTTGTGATCTGGCGATAGAGATGGAGCCGCTGACGCCCAGGCACTGACGCCTGCAGAAGCCTAGTGCAGTCCTTGTTATAAAGAGACAGCTGAGAGCCATCAGCACCAGTGAGATCACTTTGCAGGGGAGGATTTGGCCAATAACTACTAATTTGCACAGATTTTATTTGCATTTTGTTCAGAAAAAGTATAGTAAATATTACAGTAAGTCAGTGTAATAGGACAGAGGACTGAGCACACGGAAACACTGGATGGACAATGTCTTAAAGAATCAGTGACCTGAAAAACACCAAATAAAGTTAAAAACATCAAAATGAGATTTTAAAAAAAGTATGGACACCGTTAGCTGTAATGTGTTTTAAACTTGTCACAGAAGAATAGAGAACTTATAATAAACATGTACTGTACATCTGCATTGCAGACATCAGTGGCTGATCACTCAGGGATTCAAGAAAGTCAAAATATGTCAGCATTTCCAGTCTCATTGTAATCTTATGGAAAACAGAATCATGGGGTTTTTTTCATAGCTAGCAGAAGCATACTTACTGTATTATTGCACGAGCAGTCTAAACAAACGCTGCGATAGAAATGCCATCTACAGACATAATCACAATCGGAGGCACTGCTTCAAGAAGTCATTGCAATAAATATTGGTAGGCTTATAGAAAAGAATGTTTGCTTTTATTTGCTTGCTTTACATTTTAGAGGTCCCTATATGAGATTCTATTGTAATTTTAATTGTTTATTATTCAGTTTATGGGGTTTCAGTGTATCGAAACAGGATATATGTATTTTATAAAGTTTATTTTGCTCAATTTTCTAAACCGTATTAATCAAATAGTTTCAAAGTCTCAGCTAGTTGTCGCACTAGCTCAGGCAGCGCAGCTTTCATTTGATTGGAAACAATGCAGTATGCCAATTTCTGATGTGTGCATTATTGTATGAACACAATGACATTGTTCTGAACAAGATGGCCATGATGAGCAGGTTATAGTTGTCAAGCAAATATGCAAATGCGAGACAATAGCCTCCTGTGTTATGGTTTGTCTTTGAATTTTTAGAGTTATTGTTCCTTTGCAGCTGGGGTATTTGCATAATCAACTCTCAGGCCTTGCCATTATGTACTTCCCCCTATATGTGCTGCAGTGTTTTTTATTGCAATTGGCTCCTTGCCCTATAGAGCATCTTGTTTATGCGCAACTACTGTATGTATACATGTATTTGTGTTCTTGTAATACATGACATGATTAAGAGCGAATACAGCATACAATTCATTTTCACTAATTCATTGCCGTTGAGGGGCACGGGTCATTGTTTTCTGTGTGTACATTACTTTAATGAAGAGACACGATGCGTTTTTATATTTGTACATTACTGCGAAGAACAATAAACACCAAATACATTTTCTGAACCATACAGTAGTCTGTTTTATGATTCCTGCCTAGAATTATGAGATTGTTTTTTCTGAAGATATTTTCTAATCAGTATTTGAAAGATTGATTTATTTTATCCTAGGATATTAGCTACTAATCAGCATCAGCTATAAATGCTTTAATTTGACCAAATGTCCCGAATGAATTTGTGAGGAAAGGTTAAATGATAAAGAAATCCTTTGGGAAAGTGCTGAAAACATAAACAAGAAAGATTAGTTTAATATGGAAAATGTAAGATTTTTGAGAGATATAGTTTAGTAGGACAAATCTTTAAATATCTACATTTATGTTCATCTCACTAATATCACAACATTTCCATATAATTAATTCCATGAAATAAACTAAATTTCATACCTTACTAAGAGTAGGGACATCTTTTTGTGGCCAACCATCTACATTACATGTGACATGTGTAAAAATGTGTTCTCGATTTTCAGTGTTTTCTCTTTTGGTTAAAAAAAATGCACATTCATTATACTATACATTAAACCTTATTCTCAAAACTCATTACAAGGATTTTTGAGCTCTGTTAATTATCGTTTGCAGTTCCTTCTCTGACCTGCTGATGGCTGCAGAGCTCTAAATTCCTCTGCTGTGTGGTACGTGGAGCTCCCAGGTTAGGCAGACAGCTCTAACAGTCTTAGCTGTGTCGACTCCTGCAGAGACTGTAGGGCACGAATATATTAATATATAAAAATATATATATTTATTTTCAATTATAGCTGTAAATATTGATTTGTCAGTGCTAACTGTTATTAGCACTGTAACCTTTAATAGGTTATAGTTTGTAGGATGCAGTCTGCTTATGAAATATTCTTTCATGTGGATCTATCTCAGGCCTCGTTGACCTCACTGTAACACCCGGACAGTAATTATGGGGTTTTGCCTTCCTAATGAAACCACAAGCTGGCAACAATTTATGAAGCGCTTCACTGCTTTCCACCTTTTATAATTACACCTCACCTTTGCTTTTCATCTTTAAAATGCTACAGTGGTGATTCTCACTCATGATAACTAGGGCCTCACCTCCTCCTCCTCCTCCTCTCTCCCCTCTCTGAGGCCGGTAGCGCTGAAGGACACGGGGAATCTCTCACCACCTCAGAGAAGAGGCTAATCCTCTTTGCCCCAACTTTAACTGGGCCACTAATCCTCCAGGTTTATCTAAGCAGTGAGCACCTACGCTGCTGACAACTTGGCCTGCCCTCCTCCCCGCAGCCTGTTAAGTAGGGCAGGACTCGGTCCTGCAAGTGTCACTGTCAGCAACTCTGGAACCGCACACTTGCACAAGAAGTGTGAGCTGTTAACAAAATGGCTTACTTTGCTTGCAGCATGTGCGTGCTCAAATGCGTCTCAACAAACCAAAGTGAGAGCCAAGCAGGATCAAGTTGTAACGGCCATCATTTAGCAACCGCACATAAGGGAAAGTTGACAGTCTCAGCCAGAGGTCTTAAGTAAACTAACTTAGATATTGGCAGTACAAATTGTTCAGCTATTGTCCAGCCAGTTAAGCTTTAAGGTGTTTAGGTTGACGAGTCTCAAGTGGATACCGGGCTGGACTTCGGCCAACTCATTGTCTATTCGCTAAACAAGACTCCAAACTGTCTGATATCTTCAAGTATAACATTCCTTGTCTGCCTGAGGTCTAGCAGCCTGACGGAGAGAGGGAAACCTCTCTACACATTGGTCACACTCTCATTAAACATTTCATGAACTAACATTGCAAAAGAGGTGGATGGATCATCACTGGGTAATTTTAGACTAACACAGAAAGTCAGGAGATCTAAAAGCAGGTTTCTCACAGATTTAAGTCAGTTCTAATTTCCTTCCTTGATGTAATTCCCTCCTTAATCCCCAGCGATACAAATATTTCACCATGGTGTGGTATTTCTAAATGGAACGAGCAATCACTGGGAGCACTGGGAGATGAGGAGCCAGAGACATATTGGTTAGGTGGCGTGTGAGATGACCTTTCAGTTCATCTAAGATGAAACGGGGCTGCTGAACCCGAAATGATTCAGAGTGTCTAAACTGACAGGCGAGGGCACGGCCGCAGCAGAGCGTCAGCCTGCTGCCCGGCCTCCATAGGCATCTCTCGTGATTTATTGTGAAATTGCCAGGGACTCAATGTGGCGTGCAGGTGAATGAGTTTTGCTAATAAGAGAAGCATTTCTGCTCCACAGAGCTCTTTTTCTGTCTGAGCGAGCGTGTATGAAATCAGTGTGCAGTCTCCCAGCACCACACGCTCTGGTGGAGGCGGCTGGCTCATCAGTCTATGGCTTATCTGATGTTTTAGGTGGGTGGAGAGGTTGGGAGTGAGGAGAGAAATGAGGAAAAAGCGTCAATACGGAGTTCTTGGAGGTACCTGTGTTAAACATTTAGATCGGTTGTATGTTGTCTTACCTCATCCTCAGGAAGTAGACTTGTGAGACCATCTTGTACAAGCAAAATCCTAAGAAAGAGAAGGAAAAAAAGTTTAAAAAAGACATTTTTTTTAATAGCTTGACATTCGAATATAGACTATTAATGATGAAATTAAAATATAATGCAGAACTAAAGCACTATGTAGTTTGTTCATCATTTTGGTGGGTTTTTGGAGGAGGCTTGGGAAGGTGGGAGCCACAGTAAAAGAAAAACATCAGCGGCTGTGCTTTGTTTTGTAAGAAAGTTGGTTCAGGTACGTGAGACAGCTGATAATCCCTTATTGTATGACTTCAATGTCCAAGCCTTGGAGACATCTTGTCGTGGCCACTTTGCGTGAATTGCATGTGAAGAGACTTAGCTTGCCTTTGCTTCTGCTTACAAGTAGTCTCTCTAAATCCTCATCCAGGAAATCATTGCTACAGTTCAGAAGGGTACCTTCCCCGTTCACTGTGGGTTGTTTTCCAAAGATACTTTGAGGCCTTAGGGATGCCACAAGATACTGCTGCAAAGGTGAGGTAAAAGGTCAAGTGAACAACAGGATTGCAGGGGCCGACATATGGCGGTGATGTGCAAAGTGAATCCTTAGACTAATATGCTTACCTTTGATACAGTAAGGTCTCGCCCAGAGTCTAAAAACATGTTTAAGAATATGTTTACAAGAAGGGAGGGAGAAGAAGAAGAAGAAGAAGGCCACCGATGAGTATAGCAACAAGACAGGCATAGAAGTCATCTGCTTTATTTACTTATGTCAAAGAATAATACACAAGAGAGGAGAGGTCAAATGAAAACCAACTATCTACATTAAAATAAAGAAATTTCAGTCCTGAGATTGACAAAAAGCAGGGAACAGACAAAGTATCTACTCTGGTCGTTGGGATGGGGGGGGGGGGGGGGGGGGG